AAAACTGTTTTGCCTCTTCAAAATCTTGGTGCATCTTATACTCTGGTGCGTCTTATACTCTGAAAAATATGGTAGGTACAAGTCTCTGAAGCTCCCCACCACACCACACCCCAATAGTGCAGTATCTAGGGTAGTGCTATCTACCCAGAACCAAATATATAAGATCTACAGACGCAGGAGGCCCAAATACACAGAACCACCCAGTCTTGCTCAGATTGAGCTGAAATTTATGGCATCCCTTCCACGGCCCAAGACAGAACCTCTGTGGCATCATTTGGGCATCAGGGACGGAAATATAAAGCTGACTATTATCAGCATATAGATAATATTTAACCCCAATCTCTGGACAGCTTTACCCAATGGCTTTATGTAGATGTTAAACAGGAAAGGAGAACGTACCAGGCCCTAAGGCACCTTACAAAGGACTACAGGCTAGACCTCTCTCCCCCATCAATATCTATTGGAAACAACCCTGGAGAAGGAACCCACCACAACTCCCAGAGCTAGCCCAGAAGAATTTCCTGATTTATAGATTGATTTTTCAATACTGTGGTGGTATGAATATTACAGGTTGATGTGCCTAAATACGGGTATTATAGAACATAGAACCAAATCCTTTAGGAGCAATTGGCTATATCAACATTCTTGATATTTTGCACGCAACCTCCTTGTCCTATTTCACATAACCATTTTGCTGATCTTAAATAAATCACTGTATTTTTATTGCTCACTATTTCAATCAAGTAATTTACATTCCAAATGAGATTTAAACTAGTTGTTGATGCTGCCAAATTAGTCTTAATGCCTAATGGGAATACAATTCTTAAACCAATTGACTTTACAAAATTATGAGTTATAATTTTAAAAAACTTTAATGAGTAATGTCTACAAATACCTCAAATATATGGTCTATTTGAATAAATCGTAAAATCCGCTTTACTAGTTATAAGAATGAACAACAGGAATGTATTTGTTTTGATTCATAAATAGTCTGTCTTAAACTAATCTGCAATTTTATATTACATTATTTTAGTCATAGAATAACCTAAACTATACTAAGTTTCATTTTTAAATTTTTTACTTCAAAGAAAAATCTTCTATAACTTTTTCATAGGAAGAACCTGGCATTTTTATTAGTCTTGATATTTCCACAGGAGCTCAATATATATAATTCATCCTGCATTCTTCCCAAGAACAACATTATATGCTGGATTGAGAAATAATGGCTGGCCAATTATCATTCAGTGGATTTTAATAGAAGAAAATGAACTTCAGAACCCTAGATAAATTGGTAGACATTCTCATCCTTGAAATATTACTGATTTCAAGATTGAAGATAAAAATTGTCATCTATTATTAAACAATTTATAAACTCGCTCAGCAAACAAGCCTAACCATTAAAACATTAAGCATATAGAAACAGATATGGGAAAAACTAAAACTTATATAGCCTAAAGCAGCCTTTCTCAACTGTAGGTTGCCTGATGTATTGGACTAATTTCAGGTCATTACAGCCTTTGATTATGGTGGCTCAAAATAAAAATAATAGAAATCCAACATAACTGGAGGTCATCAAATTGAGAATGGCTAGCCCTGACAATACAAAGTTATATGGGCCAATGGTTTGATTAAAAATCAAATACATATATAATTATTAGAGTTTATTAGAGTTCTTTTTTTAGACCCAAAGTCAGCCCCTTTCTCTCTAATTGCTTATAAATTAGTCTGTAAGTTATGAGCACGGAAGATTTTTATATTTCCAACTATTATCATTTTTTCTTTTAAAAAAGGCTCCATTGAGGCAGAAACCATGATAAACATTCAATCTGTTTGACATTTACAAATAATACAAATATTTTGTCAGGAAGTTGAAAAATAGATTAAAACTCACTTTTCAGTATTGTATATTATAACAATTTTCAAAGAGCAGTTTTTCCCCTGTATTTACTCTTGTGACTAACTGCAATATTATACAACTTTCTCATAATGAATAACATAATTACATTTGAACATAATGACAAATAAAAGACAATATTCATAGTTCAAACAGTGTAGAGAAAAACTGGATTACATACAAAATAATTATGTATTATTAACCTATATTCTAATACTATGTCCAAAACAGCTTATTAAATCTCAATATTTTCAGCATGTAAGCAAAACACACCCAAATGCTTCATGTAAAGAAGATTAGCTATATATATTCTTCACAAAACATGCAAACATGGTCATCAATCTAAAGTGCAATGAATCCTAATCTTACTATTGAAATCTGTCTAAATAGTTCTAGGAATTTCCATCAATTTTCAAGAGTACATGAATTCATAGAAAAATAAAAACATTAAAAATGTCATCAAGTTAACAAAAACAATTTTCAAGACATTATTAAGACACCCAATTAAGTCTATTTGAGGCAGAATGTAAAATTATATTAAATGAAAAGGACTAGATAAGAAAATGAGGCTACAGTCCCAAGGCCACAAGATTGGATGACTCCCCCTCAAAAGTCAGCAACAAGTTTCTGATCTTGGAGAAGGGAACTGAACATCAGAATTAGCCTCCATTGTTACCCTTTCTGAAATCAAACTTGGAAGCCCCTAACACTGAAGCTTAATTGAAGGCAGGTTTCAGAAAATTAATTTGGCAGATGCAAATAAGCTGCTTTCTTTTGTGTATTGATTTATCACATTTGTCTAGCCTCTCATTCACCAAAGGTGATTCTGATTGGAGAACAACAATCAGATAACAAAAAGGAAAAAAGCAAATAAGGCAAAATATAAGGATAGTGATCACTTCCCCTTTCCAGCTTGGATCATTGGAAAGCTCTGAGTTGCCACTAAGACTGCCATTTCCATCCCTCAAAAGTCCAGTCCAGTTTACATACTACCTCTCATTAGGACAGGTAACAGCCTTATTACGTCACTCTATATTCCAGCTACAATGTAGAGATAATACAGATTATTTAATTTATATGAGTATTTGTAAATTAATATTATATATCATATAATTAGTTGATAATTATTTTGTTAAGAACTTGTACCAGTATCATTTTGACAGAGAATAACATCAGAGATTTTGAATCATCTCAGAAAGCTCTAAATTCATTTTTGTAAATTCCTTTTATTTTCTGGGGGGAAATTGTAAATATGAAATTAGAAAAACCAGAGGTATAGCATTAAAAGTATGGATTATCTAAGCATCATAGGCAGTTCATGGATGCCAGTGCAATGAGGTTTTTTCCTCAGGTAGAATTTTTTTAAAAATTATAGCAATTCATGGAAACTATATATTTATTAAATTTATGTATGTGTGTACACATCATCACAAGTGATGTTCATTTATTTGTTCATTTTTTGTGGCTGACCATCTCAATCAATGACTTAGCTGAAAGAAAATAATACTAAATTCCAGTCACAAAAAATTCAGAGAGTACAATAATTTCTTTTGACCTACATTATAGTTTAATATATTTCCCAAATGATACTGCTTTCATAAAGAAGATTTGAAAAAAAATTCATGGGGGGAGAGGTGTCACCACTTTTAATGTGGTGTCTGATACTTGATATCCACTCAATTTAAGAATATTATGCATAATTCTCTGAAAATCTATTTAATGTATATCTTCCAAAGTTTAAAAAAAATGTTCATGTCAAACACACTTCAGAGAATCTGGATTGAGGAAAAAGTATCTTAGAGTGAAATTCCCAAACAGAAAAAGCCAGCAATATTAGAGAAAGTCTAGAAGCATTTGACATGCATTTCATTTATTCTCAATAATACCGACAAGAACAAAACACTATCCACTATTATTTTCAGGGCAAGGTGAGCATCATTGATTTGCTAAAGCTTCCAGTATCTGTAATATAGATATTAACTACTAAAAGGCAGACAAAAAGTGCTGGACAATCCTTAAAATGTATTTTGTTTTTCTTAAATACTGCTAGCCAGGGAAATGCAAAGATCTGAAGAGGGAGGGAGGGAGGGAGGGAGGGAGGGAATATTTGAATTTGATCTCCAAAAGGTACTATGAGTGTTTATGGAACACTTTAGAGAAAAGAGGGAGGGAGGAGTCTGTTAGAGTGGAATGCTGGAAACAGTTATAATTTGTCAGTTAGGATTAGACATGATAGGATTCTTAAATTAAGAAGAAAACACCCTCAATTGATACCTAAATGTTTACTCTTATCATACAAAATATTATCGCACTCTCAACAATACATTACTCATACAAAGTACTAGACAAATTTGGGTAGAAGTGCTCAAATAAACATACATTTCTGAGTTCAGAATGATTTAATTCTAAGTGTAACTTCTTTTGCAACAGGTGCAAATTAACAAACTCCACATTATTAATATAACTAAATGCAAATGAACTAATAAAAACAAGTTCTTCAAAGCCCAGTGTCTACTGATACACTATATTGTGTTCTGAAGGTGACTGAAGATAAGGAAATAAGACTTAACAGATTTGTAGTTTGTAGTTTGGGTCTTTGTTTTATATTCACCAATTAGTAAAATTACCGACATTTATCTGTAGAATGCCACATGGTTTAAATACCCACCTGGAAGCAATGTAATCTAATATGATCTCGCTGCAATTGACCACTTAGACACAGAAGAGATTCTCCCAAGGTCAGGCTTGATGCTGTATATAGCAACAAATGCACCAAATTCTACACAAAAGATCTGCTCCGGACCAATTCCATCTTAACAGCATCACCACTGTTCAACCTTAATGTACGCACCTATATTGCCCTTGACACAAGCCTCCGATCAGGCAAGTCAGTCCTGGGATTTCTTTTCTAACCCATCCTATATCGCTGCATCATACGGGGTTATTGATCTGGCCAAAATGGTGCCAGTTTAAGTCACAAGCCCATTAATATCCCACTCCCCTCCATTCATTCCCCTTGCTCGGCAGCCCCTTCTTCCCTTAGGCAGGCGCACACCTTTAGCAGGGCTGCTTCGCTAGTCAAGACTTCTGTCACCGGCACACTCACCCTGCTGGATATCCCCGTTGGCACCGCCGGGCACCGGCACCGTGAGTTGGCGCTCGGGCTCCGGCAAGCAGCGGCGGCAAAAGGAATGAAGGCAAGGCAACAGCTTCGGTTCGGCCTCCCGGCTTTGCAGGCTCTGCGCGCACACTGCGCAGGTGTCTAGAAGCGACAGCGGGCCCGGCGCAGCGCTGGACAGAGCGGGGGGAGCGGGGCTGGGGCCCAGAGGCGCCGGGATAGAAGTGGAGCTCGGGCCTACGCTTACCACAACCGGCGCCGCGGCCTCCGCCTCCCCTGGGCCCTTGTCCGCCGCCGCAGCCAGGATCGCCGCGGCAGGGCTTTCCCTTTCTTCGAGCTGGATAGGGGCCGGAGAAGACGGGGATGCGATTGCCGCCGCGGAGGTGACAACAACAGCCGACGCCGCAGCGGCAGGTTCGGGACCACCCCCCGTCGGCCCGGCCTCTCCAGCCCCCTCCCCGCCGCCACCGCCGCCGCCTCCTCCTCCTCCTCCTTTGTTTTCCGCCATATTTCCTCCTTTGAACCCGACTCCCCGCTTTGCTCACGCATCGGATGGCGCATGCGTCCGCACGCACGCCATCAGGTTGCGCGCGCGCCTCCGACCCTCTTCTGGAGCTGGGACTGCAGAGATTGAGTGGGCGGGGGAGGGGGCGAGGGGAGAGCGAGCGTGCGCGTTCTAAGAGTGGGGGGGAAAGGTGGAGGTGGTTAGCAACCTTTACAATGTAATAAAGCGAACGGAATGAATGCAGAAGGGAGCGCAGGCGCGCAATGCTGGGGGGGGGACCTGTAAGGCAACAGCGCATGCGCATCAGTGTCTTATACGTGGATGTCTAAGATAATTTTTGGCGGCTGGAAACTGGAAGGAAATTAGAGTCATGTGATATTGTTTAAAGTATCCAAGCTGAACGTCTGTGTGGATTCTCAATCGTCCAAGTGATAGTTGTCCCAAATATGCTTTTTCCAAAAGGCAACCTACTGTAGGGAGTTAAAACCCACTCCTCTCCTAGAAAAAAATGAAATATCTTGGGAATTATTGAAAAGGCAGAATATTATATTTCCCTGAATAAAAAAATGGATAAACGTGTTTTTAGACAGGAAACAGACTTACTCTTAATAGCCCCCACCTTTGACAATTGGCCATTAAAGGCCTGAGCCAGTCTATGCTACATAACAAAGATCTTCAGCTTCAGGGTGATGGGATTAAGGCATGATAGTATTAGCCCTTTAGGCATCTCACCATAGGGCACCTAGTAAAAAGCAATGCTCAAAGAAATTTGGACTCCAAGCACAGCCTACAGAGTTGATCCTCCATGGCCCCATGGGAGTCTGACAATCAATCAGAATACAAGCTCAAGTTCAAAGCCCAGAGAGGGCATAAAACCAGAGACTTTTTTTCTTCACTCAACATCTTGAAGCATGTGATCACCTTTTCTGCTCAGGAACTCAATCCTGTTCACCATTAATTAAATCATCTTTCCAAGCAGCCTCCATGTTTCCAGTGTCTTTTTCCACACATGAAACT